ACCCCTTGAAACCAGCTCTCGAAGCAGCTGGCATTCATTTCGTCATGGTAATCACCTCCTTTCTTAGAGACGAAAATCAAGTCACACTCTTCTAAAAAGCCACTATCGCTACCAATATGAGTTACGATCAATCTTTGACCTTTCCCTGACGGTCCACGAAGACCTGTTGACAAACCTTCAATGCTTGCTTGTCGGTTACTCACTACGTTTTTGTCTATCCAGGTTTTTTTAACTGTGTGACCTGCATTTACCCATGTCTCGTCCAAATAGTAGATTTTTCTGCTTTGTCGCCTATATTCAATCATTTCGCGTAGGTATTTTCGACGCCAGGCGACTATTTCAGGTCTCTCTATCAATACTGACTTCCGATTACGCGTTTCGTAACGAAAATTAATTTCGTGCAGGGATTTCCTCATTACCTCGACGCTCATTTGGGGTATAATTTCATTTTCCTTGATCGCTGCATGTACAGCCTTGAGGGTTGGTATCTCATTCCTAAAGAAGAATGAATGTACGGTTCGCCTTAACGCCATTTTGCTATCGTCATCCAATTGAACGGCCTTTCGTCCCTTCAAATTAAACTTTGGATCAGTAGTAGCTCCAGTTTTCTTCTTTTCATGCACCACCCTGCGAATGGTCCACTCTGGAACGCCTGTCATACTTTCACAACGCGCGAGTGCATCTCCCTGCGACATAGTTCTGTTCAGATAATTGAACACGTTGAGCACGATTTCTTTCGCGTCCCTCTTCAGTGCTTTACGAAGCCGTCTACTTGTTCCCTGGCTTTCAGTACTTCCACTCGTGCCATTTGTACTCTCCATGGTTAAGTATAACCAATACAGTAACCACAGAAACCACAACAATAACAATCACACAACAATTCTTATAAAAACACACAATATGCGATCGCTCAACGAAACACGTTCCAATGCGTTGCCGACGCCTATGAGTCTGCCGGTCGAGGCGCGTCTTTGATTTCATTGGTTCTACCGGCGGAGAACAATCAGCCATTATTTCCATCTCTGTCTGTGCTGTTGACCACCGCAAAGCCACAGAAACGACATATGTCGTACGCTATACGGCTGTACTGGAAGGAAGCCGGGATCGAGCTCTGATCACGTGTTGATCACGCGTATGAGTCATTACAGTTTTAAATAGTTGTAGTATAGGTAATCAAATTCAAGCGGATAACCAAATGAAAATGCTATTTACCATTTTGGGTTGGTCTTTACTGATCCGTTCAAGCGAATGTGATTATCAGTTTGGTTATAAGATCCGTGACGTCATGACTCAGCTGTTATATGTCATAGTTATCACCGCAAAATTTTGGTATTTACCCAACTCAGGAGTACTTTTATAATCAAATCCAAGCGAATAACCAAAATTTCTGTGTTATGTGCCGCGGTTATAATATGGTTCAAGATGACACACGGGTTGATGACGTCAGTTTCACGAATCGCTTGAACGCGTTGGTTTTAACCGCGGTTTTGTTGCAAGTTGTTTATTTTAGAAACGTGCGTATATAATCTGTGATTATTTTTATTATCACTTAATAATCGGTGCTTTTTTGTCTACAACGGTGTAAGGAAAGTTTAAATACGAAACCTTTCATAATATTCATGGGAGAAATGTTTTTTTTTCAGAAAAAATTTTTTAATGATGGAACCATGGTTTTGTAGCTATGATAACTTTCAATTCTCTAAAGTTTTCCGCATGTCAAAGAAAACATTTATTGATTTAGCAGAAATGATGAAAAAACGGTGAAAAAAGATATTAGCAAAAACGTATACAGGTGGACATAATCCATTGAGTTATATGGCCATATTTTAATATTCTTGTCGTATATGTACACAGGATACTTTGTTAAACATAGGAAACTAGATTGAAAGTATTCCCAACAACAGTAATGAGTATAACTAATAAGGTGCTCCACTTTATGCTAACACTGAAGTCAGCCTGTATCAAGTTTCCCAAAAATGAAGCTGAAGTACAATAGCAATATCCAATACCCGGCAAAATTCTAACTTGTCACATTTCAAATAATAATCTGAAATATAAAACTACTCCTGAGTTGGGTAAATAGCACAATTTTGCGGTGATAACTATGACATATAACAGCTGATTCATGACGTCACGGATCTTATAACCAAACTGATAACCACACTCGCTTGAACGGATCGGTAAATACCAACCCAAAATGGTAAATACCATTTTCATTTGGTTATCCGCTTGAATTTGATTAATATTTCGGGTTATTATTTGAAATGTGACAAGTTAGAATTTTGCCGGGTATTGGATATTGTTATTGTACTTCAGCTTCATTTTTGGAAAACTTGATACAGGCTGACTTCAGTTTTACCATAAGGTGGAGCACCTTTTTAGTTATACTCATTACTGTTATTGGGGACACTTTAAATGTAGTTCCTATGCTTAACAAAGTAGCCATATACCACAAGAATATTAAAATATGGCCATATAAACTCACTAGATGATGTCCACATGTATACGGTTTAGCTAATATCTTTCTTCATCATTTCTACTGAATCAATAAATATTTTGGTATGGTTCGTCAAAAAAAAATTCTGAAAAAAAAACATTTCTCCTATGAATATTATGTAAGGTTTCTTTTTTAAACTTTCCAAACACAGTTGTAGACGAAAAAGCACCGATTATTAAGTGATAATAAAAATAATGAGAGATTATATACGCGCTTTTCTAAAACAAACAACTTGCAACAAAACCGCGGTTAAAACCAACGCGTTCAAGCGATTAGTGTAACTGACGTCATCAACCCGTGTGTCATCTTCAACCATATTATAACCGCGGCACATAAAACAGAAATTTTGGTTATTCGCCTGGATTTTATTACTGTTTTAGAATGACTAAAACATTATCTACTCTTATCTTTGTTGTGATCGAACCTGCCGAAGCTCGTGGGGGTGCTTGTATGAATGGAGTCAATATCTCCAGCAATTCATACTCCAAATCTCTGGTCAACCTAAGCATCTGTACAAATTTTCGATCCGAAATTATGAAAGGATCTCGGTGCCCAAAAATATATCTCCCAATCTGCCATTACTTAACTGTTTCCTCTACATGCTCATTAATAATATCGTTCCAATACGTCAATTGATTGAAATTATCCATTTTTCGTAATATGTTTAGCAGAAACGACAATAACATTGCCAAACACGTCAATTTTTAGGTTATATAGCGCTATTTTCTAGTAATTTTTCCAGTTTCTCTTGGTGGGTACCAACAGGAATCGCGACTCCCTAAAGTGAATTCATTTCTATCTCTTTTCCCTAGAATTGATTTCACGAATACTGAATTTCTTGTCCACGCCCACTTTTTGCCACTTTCACAATTTCTACTCCCTCAAACTCAAGAACAGGGGCACAGAATGGAATCCCAGAAAGTGTCTTATTAACGGTTATTAGACCATTTTCAAATAGGATAGGACTAAGGGATACGACACTGCCGCGCCATCTGAGAATACAATCAGAAAGAACGTTGAATCCGCCGTTGCCAAGCGTTCAGCTTAGCGCGGTAATGTTTGGATTTTTATACTAAAGCTGCCCGCAGAGTTATTACGTAATAAACCTATATAATCTCATGAAAAATCCGTATAATAGGGAGTTTTCGCGTGCCACTTAACGTGCTGCGGTATTTTCTAGGCACGTTATTTTGACAGATACGCATGCTCAGTTGTGGGTTTCATGATAGCGGGCACTAATTACGTTACCGCCTAGCGTAATTTGAGAACACTTAGCGCGAGGCGGTATATGATCGTTTCGTGGATACTCGGAACCAATCGGGCGATGATCGTTATGATGTGAGGTTAGGTGCCGTTAATGGGTGATTTTTCTCAATTTGAAAAAAAATCGGTTGGCCTGTGGTTTTCATTTTATTCATAAAGTTTGTATTATGTGTACTGCGAAAGAAGTCAAGCGAACGGGGAACTAGTCTGTTGAGAATGCTGTGCAAAATCCCAGTCTCCAACTCCTCGTTGTTCACTGCCCCTATAGCGGCCAAATCAAGAAGTTCTTGTACATCCATTTCGTCAAAGACACCTTTACAGCCAAAGGATTGAGGTTGTAGCATTGTAGGGTACAGCTTTAAGGTCACAAATTTAAGGTTATGTCCACGTTATTTCTCATGCTGTTGCGAAAAGTATCCACAACCGATTAACCAACAAAAAGGTCATAACTTCCTTAAATTTTAGATATCCAGACAATCCCTTCAGATTTCTCAAAGATACCAATAATTATACTGTTAGATGCAGGTGAAACTAGTACCTAGTATTTTTGACAATACGAAACTTCCTAATTGTGAAGGGTACTGGTGAAAATAATACTAGAGGATCTCAGATTGCTCAAAGTTTCAATGATTTCTCCTTTAAGTTTCAGTTAGAAGAAAGGCCGGTGTAAAAAATTGGCCCGAGTTGGTGGCGCCATCTCTTGTGATGTGTTTATAACTATAGGTATAAGGTGAAAACTCTGGGTGTATGCGTTCTGTTATTCTCAAAAGAACTGAACAAGTTAAATACATCAAGCCATAATGTCGCAATGACAGTTGTATAATAAATGTCAAATTGATGCTTTTCTCGACAGTTGACTGTTCACTTCCTGTGCCCCAAACAGCCAACTAGTCACAGTTCACTGATTACCATAAATGTAAAATAAGGAAGATCCCTTACAGACTATTCGAATAAATAAAAATACTTTGAGATATCTAAAATAGTTATAAAGACAATATTTAATGTGAGACCTCGACCAAGATCTCCAAACGTGTTCCAGCTCTTACGAGTAGATAATATACGTGCCTGTTTTATCGAATATACATCAAATAATACTTAATAGTCTAATCTATCTGTTAATTAATTAAGATGACATTTATTCCAAACGTCACATGCGCGTTTCGGTGCGCGTCATGCTTTAACTCAAAAAACGTTATTTTACATCTTTCCTACTCTATTTCATAATGTGAAGCGTAGAGCTGGCAACAGTGTCAATTTGATTATTGTCGGTTGAAGCCTTCTGCTCGGTCCTGACCCCCTCTTGCCGATTGTGGGTCGCGTCATTTTTCGTATAACGTCGCCTGGGCTGTGCTTCACGCTTTTCGCCTGCTTAATATTTTTGTTGAAGTGTAAATAACAGTGAACTTTTTATAAATTACTCCCCTTTGTAAGGTAAGCTGTCACATCATGAATATCATTTATATGTAGAAACTTAGTTCACAAACTGTTGTTGTTTTCAAAGTTCTCATCAACCAAGATTCGAAACTCGTACTTTTTTTGGATGCATTCCATTCATTTGAGATAATCCAACATTCAGTATGTGTCTTCAATATGCATATTCCTTCCTCATTTGTATCATTCTTCTTTTTTGATTTAAGCTACTACCACTTCGACGTTTCCTGTTTAAATTAATTATAAACATAATTCCAGAGTTGATAACAACGCCTGCCCAAAAATACGTTACGATTTAAAATTGACAAAGTTAGCTCACGTTATTTTTTTCATTTGTGTTACATATCATCAATTAGGTTTTTATAAGTTTATACTAGCATTTTAACAAATCTAGGGTTATTTTTTTGATTTTTAAAAGTTGCTTCACATGTAAATCTATAAATATAAGATTTTGAATGTTATAATTTTTATCACATAATCTTCCTATACTAATAGCTTTCTGGAGTTCTTTCTAAAAACCTATTGGACCATTCTTGAACTCAAGCTGTGCCAGTTTGTCTTGCATTAGGTATCTCATATAATCAGATAGGTACTTACATCTAACTTATCAATTTGTTGTTAAAAGCTGTAATGGTTTGTTCAGAGTTGCAACTAGTCACTGTCTTACTCAATTTTCTATCCCAATATCTCATCCAAACCATAAGAAAACCTGTTTGTCATGTTATAGAAATCAGTGTAATATTATTTTTGGAAAGGTATGCAGTTAATAATTTTTAATATCTGAATTTGGTTCAGACTGATTATTGTGTACTCTTTATTATTTAGCATCTTTTTTTGTTATATAATAATAATTTTAATAGCTTCCTATTACCCTCAATAATAGGACAATTTTTCTTCATTACTCAATTACTTACTTGAATATGTTCTAATTTTACAGAGACCAAAAAGTATTGCTAATTGCTATTAGTGCTTCATTAACCAAAATAAACTTTTTAAAATCCATCGACGATAAAAAAAATTGGTGTTTTTTATATTTTCAAAAATACACTTTGCCCTTTGGGCTATTAGCAGCTGGTTCTGTTTACAGTTTGTGTAACATATACGAGCCGCTTCCCACTTCAGTTGGCCCACTACAAGATTTGTACCAAGATATGCCTTTATAAACTAAACATGACGAAACTATCTATTTTAAAACAATTTATTTTCTCAAAAACATTTTAGATACACTCTAGTCGTAAAAAATACATATTTGAAATCACTTAGAGCTATAACTAATAGATCATCTGAACAAATAAACAATGTGCGATTAAATGCGAGAAGTTAACAAAGCAACAATTGAAAGATTACCATTGGGTAACATCACCTTTATTTTTTATTACAGCTGAAATTCTTTGGGGCAAGTTTCGGCAAAAATTTGGAGTAAAATAATCCCATATTTCTTGAAGCTTTTGTCTCAGTTCGGTGATTGTACGAGCAGAATGTTGTCATATAACCTTTTTCATCTCGTGCCACAAAGTTTCAATAGGTGACAGATCTGGACTACTAGAAACCCATTTCAAAAATGGTACATTATTTTCTTCAATCCATTTTATAGCCTGTTTTGAGGTATGGCACGCTGCACCATCTTGCTGAAACACAAAATCTTGGCCGGATGTCAAACATTGTTCCAACACTGGTAAAAGCGATTCTTCTAAAATTGCCAAATATTTGTTTGTATCCACATTTCCATCAATAAAATGAAGTTTTCCTACTCCTTTTGATGACATACTGCCCCAGACCATAATGGATGCTGGAAATTTCACTTTTCTCTTCAGACAGTCAACATGGAATGCTTCATTTTTTTTGCGAATAACTCTACTGCGACTGTCACCAACACAAACTTCGAATCGGGCTTCATCACTCCACTGTATTGCACACCATTGTTGAGGTGTCCATTGTATATCTTCTTTAGCCCATCTAAGCCGATTTTTCTTTTGCAGTGGAGTTAATAGTGGCTTTTCTTTGGCCTATAAACAAGTTGTGCAACTTTAGGATTTTTACTTCACTTTTTTTTATCAGAATACTTACCTTGCAAGTCCTAAATCCCTGTTTGTGGGCCTCTCTATGAGTTGTGGACCTCGAAATTCTTCTTCCAACAGAGTCACTCCACAGAGCACTTAATTGTAAATAATTGGCATGCCTGTTTTACATGATTATTCTTCTTAATGCTCTTCGGTCTGCATTTGTGATATTACTTTTTTTCACATATTGTGGCTTAATATTAACTGAACCAGTTACGTTATATCTTCTAACAATATTTCTCACACTGTAACGCGATAAGTCTAACAAAGTTGCAATTTCTGAGGTTGATTTCCCATAAATTTAATTATCAGTAACCGAATTTTCTCACTAATAACCTTTCCTCTACCCATTTTGAAAACCTTAACTACCCAACACTATTTTAAATGTATTCTGACAGCTGTGATTAATAAAAACGATTGTCATGGCTTTTATTTTTCACAGCCACCTATGCGTTATAGACTTATTTTGTATTGAAATGAAAATTGGTTGATATGCTGTAATTGCAACATATGTTATTTTTATGCTGCAAATTTGATTAGGGAGTGACAAAGTTGGTGTTTTCTACTATATATTATCAAAATATTCATTTTTAATATTTTAAACTTATAACACCCTGCTACATTTTTATTATTTGTGTTTGATAAGAAAAAAACTAAGATTTCAATAGTTGGGCCAACTGAAGTGGGAAGGGGCTCGTATATGTCCTTAAGATATTAAGCAATATCATCTATATTGCAGTTTGAGCTTATAATGTCATTAAGGTTATCCCTAATATTGTTGGCTGCTGCTCTTTGATGATTCATTGAAGGGCACTTAACTGACAAATGGCGGTCAAACCAACTCACAAACTTCACACTTTGGCTCCTGTTCACCTAAGATGTGAAATTCATGCATAACCCTTGTGTGGACAGCACTTGGTGTCTTCTATTGGAGGTTACTGCTACCATTGGTCCTAAATTTGACTTCGGCTCTAGCAGCTTCAATTGAGATGCTTGCCATTTCCTGTTCCATCTTGATATTGGCCACTGGCAGTTTCAGGTTTATCAGACCATCTGAAGTTGCAGCCTTTTTAGCATTTTGGTCTGCTAATTCGTTTTCACCAATTCCAGCCTGAGATGGAACCCAAATAAACACAACATGTTCTGAAAAAATTAATATATAAATTTTGAATTTATCATATAGAAATATATACTTAATATATATGTATATTTATCGATTCCTTGTATTCATACTCTGGGCCTACTACCTGATTGTGACAAATTCCAAATCGAGGGTAAAGATCAAGGTAGAGATTTTTTCACAAAAGAAACATAAACCGTTGCAATGATTAAGTGCAGAAATAACTTATATACCTGTAATAATAATCCATTTATTTTCCTGTTAAATAGTAGTAGGCACTATAACAAGTCAAACTCAGACAAATTGGTGAACAGAAACATCCTCAGTTTAGGAAATAAAAAAATTGTAAATATAGTTTTAGGGTAAAACTCCTTCAAGCTGTAGAAGTACTTGTGTAATGTTTAGGTCAAAAAATCATTAGCTCTAGTGTTGTAATTATGGTCATCATCTTGCTTCAAAAATATTGATTTTTTTTTATGCACAATTGTATAAAATATTCAGAGATTTAAAGTAATTTCTGCATGATTGACGCGAATGTAGATTTTCAATACACCTGAGCACATCTTTCTCTAGCAAAAAGACTGTATCTATTGATGAGCTACATCCCCAGCATAAAATGCCATAAGATGTTACAGTGATTCCACATGAGGCTCCAAACATAAATGATGGTCAGTGGTTATACCTAACATTCTAAGGGATAGAGAAGATTGAATTGCCAAATTATCATTTAGGTTTTAGGTGAACACTGAAATCAGGGTTATCTCTCAGCAAAACCTTCATGACTTGTGTCATTTCTACATTCAGTATGAATCCATTCATTTGTGCATAGTTTTAAATTACTGGTTTTCATGGTAAAGTCATCATTGCTGACATCAGTTAGTAAATTAGTGTCATCTACTTGATACCACTTTACACTGGGCAGAAATGCATTCAGGTCGTTAGCATACAATAAAAATAGGAAAGGGCTAAGGTCCCTTTGTCTCACTTTTTATCCCATTGAGACATATTGCTATAGTGTATCAAGATATCATCAAAAGAGTTGTAAGGGTAGACCACAAATTCCATACCAATACAGTTAAAACAGCAACATAACACCTACATAATCAAAAACACAATTCTAAGAAAATGCCACATATTTGTTGTTTTCTGCCAAGAGCATTAATTAATATTATTTTTAATTTATATAATGCAGTTTCAGTGCTTTTACCATTGACAGAGCCATGTTGATTTCTTGAGATCAGTTCATCTCTATTACAAAAATCAACCAACTGTTTTCATATTGAGCTCGAAAACAGAGAAACTTTTTCCCTGTACTGTACAATTTTGTTAAGAATCTACTGATTTCCTTATGCTTGTCATTTTTCTCAGCCACAGTATGAAACAATGTGAGATAGTTCCTCAGTGCAATGAGTTCAGGTGGTAATATAGTTTTCATTTTGGTTGTCAGATATGTTCACCAATCTATAGGGAAAACATAAATTATACATACAACATAAATAGTACATGAGGATGTTATGGAAGGTTTCCAAGCTTCATCAACTGATGATTCATTGTATACTCCCAGCCACTTATCACAAAATAACTTTTGGCAGAAGTTTTCTGTATTATGAAAAATTTCGAATATAGGAAAAGCATGAGCTTTTTTACACTTTTATGATTAGAATGCTAATGTTTATAGTTTGACAGTATTGATCACAGATTTTGCACAGATACCCTAAAATTTGACTACATATGCACTAAAAAAGCTATCAAGACAGGTACTTGAAGGGCACTATAAAATTGATTCAACAACATCGTATTAGATCCGTAAAAAAAAATTAGGTGACTGCTATTTGTTATAAAATCGGCATTATAATCTCCACCATTAACAACATGTCTTTCATTATCATTGATAAAATTTAGCAAGCCATCAAACTAAGTTAAAAAACAAACATTTCCACTACAGCGCTTAGAGTTATATTATTTGAAAACCTATTTTAAGACCTACAAAATTATGAGTCTGGCCTTTTTCACCGTAATCTTGCCTAAGAAATCTTAATCCATTTCTGAAATCAAATCTCTCAAAAATTGCCTTCTAAGGCCAAAAAGGAGATGAGTATACTGCTTCCTTGTGCTGCAACTTGATTCCAACCATATAAGAATAACTCTTATTGGAGCATTTATACAAATCAGATATATACAGGGTGTCCGCAAAGTTGGGGTTTTCCTTTTCAGAAATAACCAAGGTAATGTGTAGTGAAACGAGGGCGACCAAGTAAAAAAAATAAAGGAAAAAGTACTCACTCTCCAGTTGACGAGAAGGGCTAAGTACGTCTCTGCCCGAAATCATACCGCTCCAACAGAAAATGAAATCAGCTGATGCGCTACCGAGCAGACGCAGGCAAACAAGGAAGGCAAAATGTTGCGTAAAAAGTCTAGGTATTGCATCCCGTCCAATCTATTTGGGAGAATAAATGGTCCAATGAGCATACCGTTCACCATGCCAGCCCAAACATTCACCGAAAATGTTTGTTGAAAATGTGCCCGACGGACAGCGTGGGGATTTCCTACTGACCAAACATGAGTGTTGCGAAAGTTATTCACCCCATTACGCGTGAACGTAGATTCGTCTGTCACCAATATGCACTTCAAAAAGTCCGGATTATTGTCATGTTGATGCAACAACCACTCACAAAAACGCACTCTTGCTGAAAAATCGTCAGGTTGAAGGGCTTGTACACGTTGGACGTGAAACGGATACAGCCCCTCTTCACGCAGCGTTTGCCACACTTTAGTTTTTGATACTTCTCTAGCCACGTCTCTAGTGCTTGTTGAGGGATTCTCGTCTACGTGATTACCTCTACACGCGTGACCGTAACCGTCGGTTGAAGGTTGCATACTGACCTGACACACTGACCCCGACCCAGTTATGTCGTCGGGTTGAGCTAGTGTCCTAGCACCACTGGGGGATGTCGCGGATACAGGACGGTATTCAGATATTTTTGATGTTGCAGAGCCCTTTATCTCGGTTCCCTTAAGACATTGGTATATATGGTACTAAGAAAAATTGCTTATGTTTTCAAGATCTACACGTCGTGTAAAGGAAACCCCCAACTTTGCGGACACCCTGTATGTATATATATATATATATTGAAAAACAACACTCCAAAAGGCTGAGGATTGGCATTGCTATTTTTAACCGTCGCCTACAGCACAATTCCAAAGCGAATCAGCAAGTTAAAATTTTTTAAATTTTATGTAATCATGAGCTTCATCTTAAGTCCTAATTTTATAGTAATGTTCTAAAATTGAGGTACCAACGTCAATACAATAGTAAATCGCTTGTTAATAATCTGTGGGTTTAAAAGCTTGTAACTGGAGCAGCACGTTATTAAATTGATTCAACAAATGAGAAATGACGCTGCATTTTGGCTACAGTGAAGAAATTAGAGTTCAATATTCATCCCAAAGTTATAATTAACTCTCAAGTATTTGTACTTTATTAGATATTAATAATGATATATGATGATTATGTGAATTTCATTGATTGTATTTCATTATAAAAAACATTTGAAAATTGGTATGACACTAAACTATAAGTTTATGTCAAAATATATTCAAAATTATCTACTATATCATTAAAACTTTTAGGTGATCCTAAAGCCGCTTTAGGCTATATTTTGGAGTAAAAAGTTAAAAACAATATGATCGAAGTTACCCAAATTTTGATTTGAATTTACTTGTGGACCAAAAGAGTAAATCTGTTTTTTTAAGATCGTTGTGGTGCACTGTCAATATTTTTTCACATCTTCACCCAGGATTCAAGGGTTAGTCTGAAGAAAAATTTCGAGACTTTCATATGTTATCCCGGCTTTTTGAGATCATCCTTGAGTCCTCAATTAGCCGTATATTACTGCCTAAAATGTTATAGATGAGATATTGATCCATTTTTATTTTGACTATTGTTCAGCCCTTAATTCCAGGCTAAAAAGATATGAGAAGTACCAATCGTTTTGGCTGTGGCATCGGGTGCTGCTAACTTTTAAAATAGCAGAACGCAGCATTAAGTTAACAGACGTGAATGCAACGATTCGCCGACGTTGCTGGCCCGCGCAATGCTCCCAAACATCCTACTGTATGAGCTAGCTCCTAGTAAATTACTAATGCCTTCTACAGTAATATCGCAAACGTCAGAGTGACTGTCAAAATCCAGGTATCATTTTGATTTTTAGGATTATGGCTTCTTCTACTTCCATCGATGGGGATACCTTTGGCAGTCTGATTCTTATCAGGAAAAAAGATGGATACCCAGTTCCATTCGACCTAAGCCCTGGGCAGGTTACATTTGGCGGAGGAGATAATGCAGATATCCGATTAAAAATTGCGGATAAACGGTTGCGGGACATGCATTGTTTTATTTATATAGATGAAAATGGAGTGGTAAGTTTAATAACGTACATATTTAGAGTTGATCACAAATTACCTATAATGGTGTTTCTATTACTAATTGAAATACAAAAAATACGTCATAGTACAGAGCATAAAAACTACTGAGTTCCAAAAAGAGTAATGTTGACCAACTATGTGAAAACAAGTTTCGATGGTTCTTTATGTGCCGCCAATTATTGTCCTCTTGATGTCAGTGGTGCGCTAAAAGGGTCATCGCGTCGTCTACTGCAAAGTTTTGGCGTCATGCCAGTTATAAAAAACCGTGCATTAAAAATCGTGTTTTGAAAACCAAGTGAACAATTAAATCCTATTGGTATAAGGTTGTCAGCCTATGACAGAGTTCAGTTTCATGAAGCTAGTGGTCGATTCTGATAATGGATGGCACTTTGGGCTGTCTTATTTCAATCATACAATTTGTTTATAAAATACGATAGTGAACAACTCGAAGCAGTTTGAATCAATATATGATCATTAATTTTTAATTTCTAGGCCACACTAGTCAACAAAGCTGGTGATGATACGGTTAAAGTAAATGACAGGCCAGTGAAAAAGATGCATGTGTTAAATCATCAAGATGCGATAGATGTTCTTGGAAAGATATTCCTATATGAAAATGAGAATTTACGGTGTGATGTAAGTTTATCATGTAGTTTACTACCCATTTCAAATGTTAACTGTCTGAAAAAACGGACGTTAATGGCGACCCATTGTGTGGGACATAAGTATGTAAGGACAGCAATAATAAATACAATGTTTGAATTGATATTACATAGGCTTTCTTTGATTATGAGTATTTTGACATGCAAAAGTAATTAAAAAACTCCACCCATTCAAAACATTAACTGCCAGAAGATTGGACGTTAAAGACGATACATTATATAGGACACTTCTAGCCAAGATTATAAAGACAACAATAAAAATTAAGATGTTTGAGTTATTATAAAATGAAAAAAAAAACTGATGTTTTGTTTACTAATGTTGATGAAAAAACAACAAATGTGTTTTTTGCATACGAAAGTAATTAAAAGACGTAGATGTAGTGTGTAAAATTGACCATACGTACCATTGACGTCGTGATGGGTACAAGAGAGTAGCGCGATAAGCGTGCAAAACGTGAGTTAGAAAGATAGAAGCACTTCGTTGCCTAGCAGTCCGACTGACGAGGTCACGGATGCCATCGGCTAGCTCTTTCTTACATATTGGACGCTTCTCTCTCGTACACATTACGTCAGCCAAATTTGAACCTCACCGTATACTTGAATGCGCTTCGAAGCGCGTCACGTATTAACAGCATGTAGTACGCGCGTTGTTTCGCAGCGCGTCCATTTAACGTCGGTATGTCCAGGCAGTTACAATACCTATGAACTGTTACCTGAAACTATACATTCTATACTACAAATGCATCATTCACTGAAATATTTTCAGGAAGTACAAACAGGAAATGCTGTACCCGGTATATCTTCCAGAAATACTATACATGTGTTGGCACAGAAAAAGAGCCCTACAAAGAGTCCTACTTTGAAGTGAGTATGATTATCGAATAAGAATATATAATTTTAATATTTCAATGAAATATCACTTGTAAGTAGACGCATTGATATTATAATAGGTTTTTTTTTCCAGAGTTAAGTCACCTGTACAGAGAAGACGTAGCAGCTTGAGGCACTCATCCCAGATGTAAGAATACTATCATTTGTAACAAGTTTGATTATTTCACTATGCTACTTCTCATGCCAAATATGCATGCCTTTATTTTTTTTTCTTTCGATTACCTACGTAAGCACATATTCATGAATGTCTTTATTTTTTCAAATGGATATTTAAAAGTACAATGCCAATGACGTCGGTTTAAAACTCGCTATTATTGGCGCGCTTCACAGTGGCGTCACAACTGATGATGTCATTTGTTTGCGTTTTTTGTTAATTTGATATAATGATTTGCTGCTAAGTTTCCGAAGGTTTTATTTTATATCGCCAAATCTTATTTCAAAAAAGAAAAGCATGGTTGAAGAACGAACGCTAGCATTCCACCCATGTGCAAAAATGCGGTATGGAAAGTCCCAGATGAACTATTTTTTCCATATTCCGTGAGATGCTAAGATATGAGAAAAGTGGTGTAAAATTATGAAGAGGTACAATGTATTTCCAAGAAGTAATTGAATTTTTAGTTAGATTTAAAAGATTATACTAAGATTTTTTTTCACTTGCGATTTAATTACATTAGATCCAACAATCTTCTAGTTTTTGGGTTATGCCCTTGTTTTTTTTTTGTTGTTTATTTATTGCCATTATATTATGTAGGTTGACAATCAGTGACAGTGAGAACAAAGGCAGGCCCTCCATTTTAAATCGGACGGACATCAGTAAAGTGTTGGCTGGTCACAATTTGAAATGGTGATGTCATTCTGTAGCGAGATTAATAAAAAATAATTAACCAATATTTGAATCGCATGCATATTCTCTATTGGCGAGTATGTAATCGCGAAAAATTTCGAAATTGAGAAGGTTTTTGGATGTTACGTGATATGCCCGGCTATAAATTGATCCCTCTTTGAACTTTTTTGCAGAAACTTTTTGAAAAAAACCTTGTATACAAAAGAGGTATGGTATAGTAAAGTTTTTCAGTCAGGTATCTTATATATACAGCATCTCTCAGAAAAAAGCTAAGGAATTTTTTGATGGAGAACCCTGTATACTTGTAGACGAATTCGCTTTTTTCTAGTTCTAAATATACCGTAATGGACAAAAGTATATAGACAAATTAATATTGTGCTGTATTTCTTTTTTAACTTGTTTTATAAATACACCTACCTGTATACAGAATTCGTTATAGCATAATACTCACTTACTCGTATACATAAATAAATTCATTAGACTCCCTTCAATAAAAAATTAATTGAAAAAAACTGGAACTATGAAGGACAAACATATATAGACAAAGCAAAACAATTATAGAAAAAAGAAGCAAAGTTCAATGAATTATAGAAAACCAAGCATATTTGTGTTAATATTTTGAAGCATAACCATTACTATCCTAGCATCCTCTCGGCATAGATTGTAGAAGTTTCTTGATATAAGATTTATCAATCTGTCTCCACTTGCTTTAAAGCGGCAAAAAGTTCATCCTTGTTTGAATAATTTTTATCTCGTATTTGCTTTCTAAGTATTCCCATAGATTTTCAATGGGGTTTATATCGGAAGAGATTTGAGAACTGGTATTTTTTCATCGAGAAAGAATTTCTTTGCGAGATTTCAAGTGTGCTTCGGGTCATTATCTTGCTGGAAGATTGATCTTAAGGGCATATTGTCTTCCATATAGGGTAACATAACATGCTTTAGTATGTCTGTGTATTCAGACTTATCCATAATGCCATCTATTCTATGTAAAGGTCCCATCCCAAACCCCGAAAAGCACCCCCAAACCATAACCGACCCCCTCCATGTTTGACAGTGGGCAAAGTGTACTTGGGGTTCAGTCTTTGTCCACTAGGACGTCTAACGTAATGAACACCATCAAATCCAAACATATTAAACTTGGATTCGTCACTGAAACATACCCTCTTCCAGTCACAGATGCTCCAATTAAGATGCAACCGTGCAAATTGTAATCGGTCCTTACGGTTTTTCCTCGAGATTAGCGGCTTCTTACTCGGGCGACGTGCAAATAACTTCAAATCATTTAATCTTCTACTTATAGTGTTCCTAGAAACACTGACAATTCCTTTTGTCTCGATTTCGGCTTTTATTTGTCTTGGGGTTTTAAACGGATCTTTGGACGAAATTACTTCTATTAATCTAACTGATCTAGCATGTAGTTTTCTAGGCCTGATCACTTCTCTTAGAGGCTTCCAATATATCTTTTTGTTTATATTTGTCCAATATTACCCAAACTGCTTTACGCTTAAGCTTCAAATTTTTGGCAATGTCGACTTGACGTTGACCATCTTTGTGTAACTCAATGATCTTAGTTATCACATCGAAAGAAATTTCTGGACACGGCATGGTCTTAAAATCACTCAACTTATTCCACAATACTTGATGAACACAAACCATTCCTCTTCTGACACGAAACTGTACTAATGTTGAAAATAATTTGTCTACATATTTTTGTCCCTCATAAAAAAGTGCTTATATTCAGACTTGTATTGTGTTCATTGCAGATAATGTAAAAACAAGGAATTTAGTTTTTCTACTAATAACGCATTTGTTTATGGAGCAATAAAGTATGAATTCGTTTTCTATAGGTATTTAGGTAAATATTTATTTTTATCTATATACTTTTGTCCATTACTGTATATATATATATATATATATATATATATATATATGGTTTATTATACCTATTTTCATTACTTTAGTTGAAAGCTTGAATTATATGTCCCATTTATGCTTTGTTCATACAGCCTGTTTGCTGACAATCAGCAAACTGATAGTCGGCGACAAGTCATGACGTAGTTTAATCAGCTGTCACTGACACGTCGCTGACTGTATATAATGCGTTCATGAGAACGTTACGAGTTGGCTGAGGAAGGTAAGACCGATTACCGACAAGTAATCCGCTCTGTTCATACAGAAACTTCTGACCGTTTGATGACCGTCAAGCAGATAATTTGCCAGTAAATTGTCAGAGCTCGAAATCAAATACAATAATTATTCGAATGTAAACTTTTTCAGAATGAAGTAGACAATTTTGGAAAAGTTGGGGTATGTTCATTGGAATGATCCAGGATGTTTCGTCCAACTGCTCAAATGTGTGCGACTTTTCCTCTAGATTAAACATCGGACACTTTCTAGTAAAAATAACAGCACCCAAAAATGTCAAGAGATTTACTCAGTAATTCCCATTCAATTCTCATTTAAAAAGTATAAACATAAATTCGAGAGAAGAAATATGATTCCACACATCGAATGACAAGTTGAAGAAGTAAATAGTAAGAATTCTGAATGAACGTCTGCAGTGATCATGCATGAGAAATGTACAAAATTTTTGATGAATGACTCGGATAGTAGGGTCTTTGTTCCCTATTCCCTTGTCGCCCAGCCTCGAAGTGTATGCACAAACAGTATTTATCTATTCTAGCTATGTATTTCCAACCCAAAGCTGATGAAAAGAAAAACAAAATAACGAATTCTGGAGATTTTGTGATACAGCTTTTTTCCACGGGTGTCCACGGAGATGGAGTGGCCGACTGTTTCTGCTGGGGTGAAAATAATATTATCCCTATACAGGGTATTTCTACTTCGACCCTCACCATTGAGATCTCGGAAACTTTAGGGGATACGAAGTCGCTTAAGTAAGGGCAAAGTTGCGTATTCAGATAATCAGCATAATGCCGCTTAGAAAGCTTTGAAATAGAAAGTACTTCCGAAAAGAGGCGTAAAAAACGAAATTTCCCAAAATGGTTTTAATCTTCTCCCGACTTTATTTGTGGTGGGATTTCAAAATAAATTGTACGTCAACTCCGCCACATTTTCTCCTCTGCAAGACAAATTGAATTTCAATATGACGTTTCGTCTATTGTCCTCCAGCATCAACTGATATTTTTTCTTATAGACGCCATATTGGATTTTTACACACATGAATAGAATTATTATTCTGATTTCAAAAATGTATATGTCATACATTAACATTGCAAACCCTTAGTTATTCCAGAAGATCCGAGGTAGGCCTGGAAACTATCAGATTCCATTTGTTTGCATAGCAACAGAGTTTCGAAGACTCTGAAGATCTCTGCTTATTTTTGGTTATTGTTATTACCATCGATAACATTTTCATTTCGTGTTCAGGTTCCACCATGTCTTTTTATTTCCTTATAATTTTCATCCAACAACAAATTTATGGTCAACTAACGAAATACATCACTCAATTTAGGGCTGAAAAGTCCATTTAAATGTACAAAATTCCAAAATAGCATCCACATAAAAAACAAAGTTGGTAATGAAAGTCGAAAGAAGACATGTTGAATTGAAAATTTGGCTACCCCATCTTGTAGAGGAGAATAAGTAACAATGACAGTATGCAATTTATTTTGAAATCCCATCTCAAATAAAGTCAGTAAAAAAAGAGATTTTGGGTTAAGTCTAGTGAGCGAAACAAATATCTGATCGATAATTTCAAGGCCTTCCTAAGAAATTATTTGCTTTTTTTAGTAACAAAGGTTTGGCAACGTCAATGTGCAAAATGCAATATAGCGTCTTTAAGAAATAATAAAGTTGATGGTGGAGGACAAGAGACGAACTGTTGTATAGAAATTCTGATTATGCCTTCATGTAGAGGAGAAAACATGGCAATGTTACTATGCAATTTATTTTAAAATCCCAGTATAAATAAAGTCAGGAAAAAAATCAAAACGATTTTGGGAAAATTCAGTTTTCCCGTCATTCTCCGGAAGTACCTTGAATTTCGAAAGTTTCTCAGTGTCATTTTGTTGTCTACCCTATTTAACACGTTCGCTGCGACCTGCCTCGCGCCGCGCGCACGGTAGCGGCTGAACGATTTCAGGCGCCTGACAAGCGAAGCGCGGATTCGCGTCGTAAGCCTATTGGATGTGCGTTGTGTAATTGAAAACTATTTCATATATACATTTTCTTCTTCTATCTCGTTTTTTTTTTCGTGCAGTAACACGAAACATGTCTTGAAACCCTATTAAAGATGTTTCTTTAATTAATTTCAGAACACCACAGTCTTGTGAGTTTATATCAGCCAGAAGCGCGGATCCGCGCCCGCCGCCTTTCGTTAAACATCGGTCGGACGCGGATCAGCGTCGTTCGCAGTGAACGTGTTAAGCGACTTCGAATCCCTTACAGTTTCCAAGATTCCAATAGTGAGTGCCGAATTTGAAACACTCTGTATATCCAGACTTTCACTAGAAGAAAGAAGTAAAAATACAAGGATTTAATAACGTCTTTGAATACACTAATAAGTTAAAACGACACATAACTACAATTATTATCAAGGTATTCTTACATAGCTATATGTTTCACAAAGTTCCCAACATGGACAAAAAGAACTGAGACTACGAAAATACATATAGAAGTGAGTCTTAAATCGAGTAATTTCGCATTTTGGAACTATAACAAAAATTTTCAAATTTTCACAAAAATAGTATTAATTATGGTTCTTGAAAGTTATTATCTATGCCAGGTATATAAAATGGAATTTCATTGAAATTTCTTCTGCCACTTGCTCGCCCGAAAATGTTACAAAAATTTGTAGCTGTTGAATTGTGGCACTGTTTCCCCACAAAATTCAGGTTTTTGGGTTTCATTCTCCTCCAGTAGATCTTCAAGGTCTTCGTCTTCTTGGTATATCGCTGGTTTTTTACACCGAAGCAGCTGCGCAGGTGAAGCCTACATGCCAGAGCACCGCGGCTGCTTTGAATAGCTGTTATCGTTGATTTGGAAGAACAGAGTTACATTAAAAAAAAAATCATTTTTTGTTTTATTGCGTCAATAATTCAGGAAATGTGTTTACATTTATGTGGAAAATGGTTACATCTGCTATCTCTACTATGACTACAACTACACATGTAACCATTTTCCACATGAATGTAAACACATTTTCTGAATTATTACCGCAATAAAACGGAAAATGAAAAATTTTGAGATGTAACCCTCTTCTTCCAAATGAACAATATGTATCTGGGCCGATACCACTGCATCGGCGACTAGAAGCAGACGGGTTTAAACTTGGGATACACATCAATTAATGACTCGCAAAATTGAATGTTTTGACCAATGTAATGAACATATTTGGAATAAGAAAAAAGCGACTATCATTTTAACTAAAAATGTATAAGGTAATCTATTAAAAAAACTACAGCATCATTCGATAGCATTATTCTGATATGCCCTTTATATAAAAAGATATTACATGTAAAACTTCATATTAGATCCAACGACTTTATTTTTTTCTTGAGTTACAGTTCATGTGGCGTTAGGTTTAAACAGACTATAATCAAATTTTTTATGATATTTTTTCTTCCTTAGGTCTGTGATTGAACTTGATTCACCAGAAAAATCGTTAGAAGGCAAGAAGTCTCTAAACAGGTCGTCGCTAAACGGAACGTAAGTAAAACTTTTCCAAAACACAAATTATTTAAAGAATATTTTTAGTTTTTGTGAGAATAGACATGCATAAATACTGTATTCAGATATTAAATTTAATAATTTCACTTTTTTCTGTTTCAATAGTTGTTACGATTCAGTATCTTGGAAAATGTAGAACATGAATTTCAGCAAGACTAAGCGTAAACTGCTGTCTTGATTCGGGTCTAAAGGCCGTCGTCGGTTGGAATTTCTTCCTAACGTTTCGCTAACACGACTGGCAAGCTTCCTCAGAGGTCCTTCCATTTCCGATGCTGGATGTAGACTGACGATTTCTCTTGCGCAGATTGTATTTATACCGGAGGGTAGGTGACGTGGCTTGTTCCGCTTCGGTTGACTTCGGGATGTCGATCGGCACTGCTCGGGCGTTTCTGAAGATCGGGTGCCAGATCGGGTTGAGTCTGAGGGTCTCTTCCTTCCTGTTGAAGTTATCTGGATATTTGTGAATCTCGATAGCTTACCTGACCAGTCTATTGTGATAGCCGTTGACTGATGACAGCAAACTGCAGCTCCCAAAGTGTATCCTGTGGTCCCCATTGCTTAGTGCATGTTCAGCTACCGCGGACTTCTCAGTTTGTCCTAGCCGGCAATTTGCTTTGTGCTCCTTTAGACGCGAATCAAGACTGTTTATCAACTGGCCGCGAAAGCCTTAACCAATTTGTAAGACTTAGGCCCAGTTTCACCAACATTAATATTATGGACCAATGGGAAAATACCTTATCGAAATGCAATTTGACACAAGCTGTCAAAGGTCTCTGAATATCAGTGATTTCTATTAAAATATTGAATAAAATCGTGAAAATTCGACTGTATTATAAACAAGACCACTTTTTGATTCCAACATGATGCTTTTGTACAGAGAAAACAGGACAACTTTCATGTATTTTGATTTCCGTTATAAATTTACATTTAACTATCAGTTATCCCCAAACCCAATGGGAATGCGGCAAATAATAGGTCGACTTTCTAGCTGTTAAATTTGGCAGCAGATTTTGATGTTTGTTAATGCATGGCAATCTCGAATTTTCATATATTTCAATATACTGAATGTTATCATTACATACCTGTTGAATAGTGTGGATTTGTCTGTATTTTGCAAGAAAATAGAATATAAAATACATTTCATCCAATTCCTCATCTTCCTTTACATCATAATAGTAATCATTTATTAATTTATGGGTTAATGAATTTCTTCAAAGCAATAAAAACATTGTCCTCTCCATCCTAAAACACAGATAATATGTGTAAGACGTGTCAATCCTTACATCTCCCTGATGCATAATGCAATTACTATGGACATAGACAAAAAATTATGAAAAATGTTTCACAAATAATGTCTTTTGAGTCCAAAAATCATAAAAACTAATAATGTTTATTGTTTGTCTTTTTGACTGGCGGAGATATCTATGTGTCACTCGCAGGGTTGCCAAGTCTAACGACAATCACGTCCCGTGGTGGAGGGTGCGAAATGAATCTTTTACATTTGCTGGTTTTGAATTTTTTCGTGAAAATTTACTAGGTATCATGATTATAAGCATCTTTGGTAGATTGTTCGATCCGGAATGGGAAAGATCTCCGATTTATGAAAATATTTTTGGTATCATCTAACCGTTGCAATCAGTGCACAAAAACTGTGACATGATTTATAGCATAACCCGTTGCCCTATCAATATAAATTTAACATACAGGTCGCTTAGCCGTGGGGATGCAGTGGTCGGGATGAATATCACGGCAGCAACTGATGATTTGGGCATGTGTGGTAACAACGTATGAAGTGAAACTCGCTAACTTCACAAATTTGAAGATTTTGTACAATTTCTTTGAAAATGATGAAAGATACATATGTCTGATTTGGCAGGGTAATGTTTTTTTTTTATATCGAAGCAGCCGCGCAGGCAGAAGCCTAAATGCCGGAACACCGCGGCTGCTATGATGATCCCAAAGAAATTTTATTAATACGATATTTGATCTGCCTAAGGTTAATAGAACTATAATAGAAAAGCCTCCTCTTGCAGATTGTTCCACAATCTCGACACCCTCGGGACAAAGGAGCGGTCGTATCGACCGGTTCTGTATGTACGAAGTTCGACACGGTTAGGATGGGACGCCAAAGTCAGGCGGGTCTGTCTGGCAGGCACATCGCGCGGCGGCATCATGGAAGAGAGCTCTGAGGAGCAAAGCCCGTTGGTGTAACGGTAGAAAAGAGCTAGATCGCCGACAGCCCGCCCGTCCGAAAGAGTCCCGAGACTGTCTGTTAGAGAAGAGTCATCGATCAGTCGGACCACCCTCCTCTGGACAGCATCGAGCATGGATAATGTAGTCGGGGCGGCAGCACCCCAAACGTGTGAGCAATGCTCCAGGCTAGGCCTTATCTGGGCCTTGTATAGAGTGAGAAGGTCATGCGGAGAAAAGTACTTCTTAGCCCTAAACAAATAGCCTAGCTTTTTCCCAGCAGCTGCAGCTATTGACGAGATGTGTTCGTGCCAGATCAGGTCCTCGGTGATCTGGACTCCGACCAGCAGAAATGAATGGCTCTTTGGCAGAACTCGACCATTCATCAAAACCTGGTGAGCGCAGGGACGCTTTTTGTTCGTTAAAGTACAGTACTGCGTTTTGGAAGCATTGAACTGTACAAGATTGTTGCGTCCCCAAGCAGTGATAGCCTCCAGGTCTCTTGTCAGAGAGAAAGTCATCGCTAGTCTTCTTTTTTCCAACTCAGCGGCAGATATCGGCTTGTCACTCTGAATTCCTGCATGTAGAGTGCTGTCATCAGCGAAACTGTGGATTGGGTTGATCGTGCAGGAAAGGAGGTCGTTGATATGTAAGCGAAACAGTGTCGGAGCCAAGACCGATCCCTGGGGAACACCCGCGTTGACGTTGTGGGATGAAGAGGAGAACCCGTCAATTACGACGGATATCTTGCGGCCAGAGATAAAGTCAGCCACCCATCTGCAAAGCTTTTCTGGGAGGCCATAGGATGGAAGTTAGCTTAAGAGGGCAGCGTGCCACAGCGAATGCGTACGCTTTCGTGATGTCAAGAGCAACGGCATGAGCCGCACCATAAGACTGGATGAGTTTACTCCACAATTGAGTGACGTAAGCTAGGAGGTCCACTGTGGATCGTTGGTGCCGGAAACCATACTGCCTGTCGCTAATCAAGCCGTGACGTTCGAGGTAGTCCAGAAGCTCGCGGTTTATGCACCTCTCGATCACCTTACTTAAAACAGAAAGCAGAGCTATAAGCCTGTAGTTGTAAGGGTCGGTCTTAGATCCCTTTTTTGGGATGGGTTGGACATGAGCAAATTTCCAGTTTTCTGGGAAGGTGCCGGATTCATAAGATATCTGGAAGAGACGCGAAAGAACTGGAGCAAGCTCCGGTGCACACCTCTTTGAATTACCCGGCGCTTCTGCATTGGGGGCGACGTCCATGGTGGAGTTGGCAGCAAAGATCTTGGTTAGCACTTCCGCCTTGGCCTTTGAGTTGAATACAATAATTCCATCCTGACACGTACGTGGTGGAAGGCTACTGTGTGAGAAGTTCTTTCCAATCTGCTTGGCCAGCGTCCAGAAAGACCGACTGCCATTGCGCTGCGACATTACCCTGTGCCTAACTTTTATATCGTGCTGGTTTTTCGCATTGCGAACCGCTGCTTTATATTTGTTTCTGGACTCAACGTCGGCTTGTCTGTTCTCTACAGTGGGGTTTTGTAAGGTTCTGTGTGCCTTGATCTTCTGCTAGCGAGCAGCGTCGCAAGATTTGTTAAACCAGCCGTTGGACCCTGGTCTAGGCACTTGGACTGTGTGAAGGATGTATTCCTCCATTCCGACGTGGATAATTTCGGTTATCGAAGAACAGACAGCCGACGCATCCGCGTCAGTGAAACAGACATCTTTCCAAGGAAAGCTAGAGAAGACATCTCGGCATGTCCGTAATGCCAAGTTTCGCGGCCTGTACGAGTTTCTGCTGCCACAGCGGGTTCGGACCAAAACCTAACCTCCACAACACCGTGGTCTGAGTTACCCAGGGGGGACAGGACAGCAGTGCTGTAAGGGACAGGAACGTGGTCAGAAAGAGATCCAGCAGGCTACTGGCGTGTGACGAGATGCGAGGGAAAAAAGTAGGGCTCGTCACGAGCTGAGTCAACCCTTGGGTAAGAGCGAACGCTTCGACTGCACGACCTGCTGCGTCGGTCTTGTTTGAGCCCAACCAAAGCTCATTATGGGCATTGAAATCATCGAGAAGGACTACCTCTGAAGCGGGATGATTGATGTTCAGGAAGTCGATCTGGACGGCGAGGTATTCGAGTAGGTCATCCCAGTTATGGTCCGAGGGAGAGCGATAAAGGCAGCAAATAAATTTGGGTGATGTTTTGGAGTTGAGGCGAAGCCACAAAATGTCCTTCCGGTCTGATTCCAAAGAAACATCTCTGGAGCAGGAAAGACTGCTGCGGACAAAAGCCACAACTCCCCCGTTCTTTCTCAGATTAGAGTGCACCTCGTACTTTGGGAAGTTAAGATGGTTAATCGGTGCAGATTCTGAGATTTTTGTCTCCGCCAAGAAAAGCACGGCGGGACGATTGGATTGCAGGTAGTGATGGACAGCATCAATGTTGCTGTTAATTAATTCTATCTTCGATGTTGTTCCCTCGAGCCCACCCTCCACCCGGACATTCCGACAGTGGAGTGAGTTTACGTCCGGAGTTCTTAGTGCTCGAGGGATCCATTATCATTAATTTCTTTGTTTAGGAGGATAACCGACTGCATAGCTCAGGTGTGGAAACATGCGGACATTTATAAGACACCCTGGGAAAAGCTAGCGGGTGGTACTGCCTCGGTTGACTGGTCCTTGTCTACCACCTTCTTTTCACGTGTTAGTGATGTTAAATAGACCTAAAGTGGCCAGTTGGCGGACTTGTACCGCCAGCAATCGGTACTGAGGTATTCCTTAACGCGTGGACAAT